TCTTTTTCTCTTCATTTAAATAAATTATTTTTCATTTTAGTTTTTTTTCATTCTCTTTTATTCAGTTAACTAACATTTGGTTTTGTTTCTCAATTATTCCTTATATAACTAAGAGATGGTTTTCTCTTTTCTTTTATTTTTCATGTTCATAAAATAAAACCAAAAAAGAAAAGAAAAGAAAACAGTATTAATATTATCTCATCTTATTTGAGAGAGAGTGAGAGAGAAAAAAGGGGGGGGTGAATAATATTATTTCAAAGCTGTAAGATATTTACTTGTAAATCAATGATATACGATTGTTTAATTTTGAATAATTGATTACTTGATTGATTATTTATTCTTTTTATGAAATTTTCTTTTTTTTCGATTTTAATCATTTATTTCGATTTATTAAAACAAAAAAAGAGAAAAAAAGAAAAAGAATGAATCAGTCAATCAATCATTTAATTAAAAATTATCTAATCAATTATTCAATTATTGTGTAACATTTAAAGTGATTTAATATTACTATTCAGTGTAGTTCCTTATCATTGATTATTTGTGCACTATTTTTAATATTATTAACACTGGAAACAAAGTTATTATGTCATTATGAGGCTGATTTTAATGCCATGTAATAAACATTTCGTGATATTTGCGTAATTTTATGTGTTAGAAAAAACAAACGAAATAACTCTATATGAATGTAAGTGACATAAAGGTATCATCACCATGGTTTGACTGGATAATTTTGAATAAATTGAGAATTGGGTAGATTGGATGCCGGCTCAGTGGTCTAGTTGGTTAAGTACCTGGCGCGAGACTGATGGGTCCTGGGTTCGAATCTCGCGGGGTGCGGTATCGAGGATGCGCACTGCTGAGGAATCCCATACTAGGAAGAAACGGCCGTCCAGTGCTTCCAGGTTTTCCGTGGTGATCTAGTTTTAATTGACTCATGATTTAAATCAGTGAAATCTCTAAAATCTCCACAAAAGCCCTTCAGATTGTTATAAATAAATAATATATTTGTAATATTCATGTTGTTCCGTTTTACTATTAAAACTTGGATTAATTTTGAATTGGTTATTTGAGATGATGGAGAACATTTGTAGCTCAGGTAGATGAAGTTTGTATTGACGATGATGTCGTTCAGAAGAATGATGAAAGCTCCATGACGAAACCGTCTAGTTCAGAGAAAAAATTCCATCAAGATTTGGTTATTTATTCTCTGAAGAAGTGACTTGCACTGAGTCACGAAACGTCAGAACATTTAATTGTTCTACTCAATGGGATATTACAAAATATATTATTTATTTGTAAGTGAATTATGTTTTGCCAGAAATAATAATCTATTTCCTAATGATTAACTGTCCATTTTTAAGGATAAAAATGGATTAATTTTAATGTTTGTCTGTTGGCTGGTCAATAGCACTTATTAATTTTGTTATAAATGAAATTAAAGAGATCGGTTTTGCTTCATAATATTTTACGATCCTGACACGATTGATCACCCAGTGGATTGTTCCACCCAATTATTCGAAATCATCTACCTTACAGTTCTAAAAACAATTCATTGATACAAATTATTCATCTGAAGAGTCAAACTCCAAAATCTTCCTTAAGACAGTTAAGTTTTGAGCAACATGAATAGTAGTTCAGAGGTGGATAGGTTTCCCAACTACCAAGTTATTTTATATTCATCGATAAATTCAACTTATTAAAAAATTTTACTCAACATTAGAAAGTTGGGTAGTAACAAATAGTTGGAACGGAAATGTCAACAAATATTTAGTGATCTCTTATGTCAATATGAATTCTTGTATTAAACATCTGGTTTTTACCAATTTTGTTTGTAAATAAACTTGCAGTTATACGTCAAATATATTTGTAAACCTTGATGTATGATGAAATATTTAAATATTTAAAATAGAATCCTCAGGAGTTGTATCTATTCAGGAAACTCTTCAGATACATCATGAATGAAACTAGTAAAAATAAACTTCTTATTAGTTACTTGAGTAATCAAAAAAATTATAGTCTGGTTCTAAAGCTGAGTAACTGTTTACATAAAATTCCCCTTTGAAATAAATTTCTAATCACTTTCTTCCAAAGTATAAGGCAAATTAGGATATTAGGTAACTTTGGTTAAGTATATATATGGTCTCTAAGATTAATTTCATAGATCTGCTGTGCGGAATAAGCGAGAATGTTTATGCCATCACGTTTTACAATAGAGTTGTTGATCTCATGTTGACAAATTAGGTTGAAAGAACGTTCCAATCCATAACATCGAGACTTCTAACTAAGGACTTCACCGAAGCGATTACAACATGAATGCAAACCCGTTTATCATAAAATCATTACAAATAATCTTAATTCAAAACTTTATGAAAATTTCCTAAACAACAATGACTGAAAAATATAATCATCTATCTCCTTGGAGCAAATATGTAGAATTTATTCTACTGCCTTAATGCTGGTATGTTAATTTGTTCTCAAGGTTACGGTCGTTAATATCGATAACCGGTTCAAAAATAACCAATGATACAGCATTCAATATCTTTTAACTGATGATTTTCACACAGTCCCAATGAGCTTTGGTTAACATCTTAATTAAAAATAGCTCACAATATTGATACTAAACTCTGATTATATAATCAGGATAATCTTAATACAAAGAGTTTTAAAACCTAATTCTCTTATCTTTACATATATTTAACGTGTGCTTAATCACACATAAATACTAATAGTTCAGTTATACGATCAGAAGTAAGATGATGTAAGAAATAAAATATTGACTAATTCAGCTGTTTAGCAATGTGTAATTCATAATCATTCATTCATCTGAAGTAAAAGACACACGTTGAAATCGGCTTTTGACCGTCTGAATTGTGCACTGGGTCCCGCATCAGTTAAATTCATCGCATTTACACACGTGTTTGGCAGGTAGTTGATAGTCATATGGGCGACTATCATGAAAAGATAGGCGGTTTACTGAAGCTGATAAGCACCTTGAATTCAAACAGGTGTTCTTGCTATTAAATCGTGTAAAATGTAGTTTAAGCTTGATCATCTCAGATAACTGTCTATGTGACGAAATATAAAGTAGTAACGTATTTTCTGGAAAAATAGCTGCATCATTCACGCACTAATAAAACCTAGAATCTAGGGTGAAGACAAGTAGCTTAAGCTCCTGTCGTCGTTGAAAGGAACAGTACATAAAATAATAACTGAATATTATTTATAGCAACTATCCCTCAACCAATTTCGATTATGGTTACGCTTTTTTAAGCTCTTTTATTAACTTAACAGACAATCTTATTCGAACAGTAACAACTCACATATTTCTTTGTACTATTATGAACACTACCATATCTGTATAAATATGCACTCATGATCACATGACAACCTACGCACATATCTCTCTCTAGCTTAAATGTTAGTGTCTTAATTATCGCTCGATGAGTCATTCCCTTCCATATGTATATATGTCGTCGGGTTTTACTCCACGTTGAATGCGTAATATCTATCTCCCCAACTGTCCCATGTTGAGATTTAAGGATTGTGTATTTAAAACCTAATGTCACCACAGAGTTATGCACGACCTACTAGTTACGAAACCACGTTGCGATTTAGAAATAAGCTTTTGAGTTGATAAGTAATATGAGGCACTGTTTTTAACGGCTGTTATTCGTAAAAAAATGAACTGATATTTATGGGTCTGTAGTTAGCTGAATTTGCTCTGTCCTCAGTCTTGTAGTGCACTTGATCTCACGGTTATTCGGGTATACGTCTGCATCTAATGATATACTGAATATCGTAAGAAGTATGAGTGGCCTGTCATCCCCACATCTCCTAAGGAATATAAAGGGAAGACCGTTAGTTTCTACATCTTTTGTAGTCTTATGACGTTTTATAGCTTCAGATACATTTTAGCAGTAAGATATATATTCATGCAGGTACTGAAAATAAGTGTCAAATTGTTGAGGTCAGCAGGTTGCTTTTAATTAAAGTTTGCAAAAGCACTGCTAAATATTCCACATCTGTGGGGATAATTACCTGTTTCCTAATTGATTTTAGTGAAATTGAAGTCAATAACAACCAATTTGAAACCATCATTTGACATCGAAACATGTACGAAAATTTTGGAAAATGTTATATCTGTTTCAAGTTTTAGGTTCAATGTCCTATATACAGATCGTGCAAGTATCTTATAAGTAATGCTGCATAATATCAGTTATCACGAGTCTGGTATTGTACTTAGTATACTGTGTTCCAATTCTATCGCATTGGTAGGGTTATTTACATAGACAATACATCCCATACCTCTATTGTGACTCCGGTTGAAATGTTGCAGTAAGTTATCATCTACACTCAGTTCTGAATGTAGTTTTTTAGACGGGCAACACTTTTCTTTTACTAGCATGATTTCCGTATTTGTAAACAAGGCAGTCATCCCACTTTTCGACCATTTATTGCCAACCGAACGCGCGTTAACATGTGTAACAGTTAACAGAACATGGTTACTTGGAAAGTAGTTCATTATTCTGTTCATACCTATCTGACTACACGTGTTTTGTTTGACTAATACAAGTAGCAATTCATCCAGGTTAATAAAACAGCTAGATGAGTACTTGCCTGTTTCCTGTGATGGTAAAAGTATAGAACAATGTAATAAGTAGATGGATTCAATGTCTACTGTCAGAAGCCACAAACTGTTCATATAGTAGTTATACATAGCGTTCGATCATCCAATTGCATCTCGCAATGGTTCTGCAATTCAAACTATCCACTCGTCCAGTCTTTAAGGATTCTGAATACTCCATGCTGTTAATGTACCAGAAAAGTTACCTCTGCCTGGTGATTGTGACACCTTTGAGATCATGTTCCGCCATATACTACATAAAGCAATCCTGTGACCGCTATTTACCGCAATAGGACTGGGTCGTCGTTCATTTTGTCAGTGTCAAAAACGCCGTTTTGGTTCCTTAAATTACTTGCCGAATTTGGTGATGTGATGTGGTGATTCTGTCTTAGATTCTTTAGATAAGCGCAAATAGTGTCCCTACTCGACCAAATTTTATTGATGTTAGATGTTATATGACGGGTGTCGCGCCGTTTTGTCATTATTTAAACGACGTGTTGGACCATTTCGTGTAAACTGGTGCAGATGTACTTACTTATAGAGGAGTTCCTCTATGTCATCTACAGCAAACGAGACCTCCAGATTTTATAAAGGTTGTTCATGCTTTGGTGTTTCTTCCAGTGGACTTCTTACAATAGACGTGGCCAATAACTATTATTACTTTATTACCAAATGTATTTGACTAAGAAATCACAGATTTTTTTCTCAGGATATACTGATTGATTGCTTCTGAGCCCTATACTTGAACTCCTGATACTTTTGGAACATGTAATTAAATCTCTTCAGCTCGTGGCACACAAAATATTGCACTTGTTCTGGTAAAAAAAACGTTGGCATGAGGTTAACAACTAGAATAATGGGATTACACATGATGATAACCTGACTGTGATTCGAAACTGAGCAGATGTTAGCAGCCTTACCTTCAACCATTCAAGCTTTGAAGCTGAACCTTTACGAAAAAGCTTTGACTATGATGCATTTCTAGTTTTTTTTCAAGACAAAAGATTCTCAACCATCTGACCGATTTGAACCACTTGAACCACAATTCGACCTCGAGTCAAGGATTCTATTTGAACCATTTCATAAGTAGGACCAATTCTCGCGACAAAAGAAGTAGTTCACTATTTTCCCTAAGTTCAGTATTCTGTTACTAAAATTATTTTGCTTTATGTCGTCTTTTTCTAGCCATACCTTAACAACGGCTTTACAATCGCTTTTTAGTGCTACCAAGCACATGGAGTGATAAAAAGTTAGCCATTTTCCTAGATAGATAAACTACTTGAGAAAACTAGACGTTAAGCAGAACCTCATTCTCGCTACCTCACAGTCATTTCTCCGAGTGTGCCATACAAATACTAACTCTAGTGAGATATTAAGCCTCCTTCAATACGTTTTTAATGTTTACTTAGGGAGACACTCTATTATCAGGCGAGTACCTCCCGAAATCCTCTTAGGCGACTTGGTCACAAGTAGCAAAATTTCAGACGTCTTCGGTGGCTTTCCAAAAATCATCATATCTATCCACGTCAGAAGACTGTATAAAAGCCATTTCAGTTTCAGTTTGGGAAGGACAGGAGGCTCGATGGCCTATGTTAGTCCTGGCAATGGTGGTCTCTCAGTTGGTCCAACTTTCTTTTGAAAGAGTCGATGGACGGAGCCTCAACCACGTGCTGAGGTAATGAATTCCACTCGTTGATGATTCGATGGGAAAGTCGATAGTCAGCTGACAAGTAATTTGTTCTCGGCTTGTGAACTTTTTTAGAGTGTCCTCGTAAATTCTCTGTTTTGGAAGACAGGAAAAATGAGGGCATATTAGGTGCAAATTTATCACTAAGCAATTTGTAGACTGTAATCAAGTCGCCTCTAGTTCTGCGATATGACAACGGGAAAAGGTTAAGCTTGAATTAAGATTATCGTTATCACGTTTACCCCATAATCAAATGGGCCCACACTTAGTTTTTCTTGCTTTTCTCTTCCGTTTTCGCGGCCAGCCCTTGTAAGTTTTGGGGATATGTCTTAGCTAAACAATAACCGAAATTGAACATTTGTATGTCAGAAGTGTTGGATTTCCTTAAATTACTTTGAAATGAGTGGTTTATTTTGATGGCCAATGCTGTTTTTGGCCATAGATTCTTTCGTTCATTTATCAAAAAATTCCGATATGTGTTTTGATATCTTTTGCTATTTGACTACCACTATCAAACCTTACTGAGTGAACTCAGTTATGTCAGAAAACAGGGAACTAAACAACTTTGGATTCATATGGCAATTTCATTTCGATGTGTAAAATTTTTACTCTCCCGATCACTCCAGATATTTCAGCAACCTGCTTTTCAGCGACATACAAAGCTTCAAAAGTCAACTATTCAACATATTGTTCCCAAATCGTATTAGGTTTATTATTTAAAACAATTGCATGGCGTACTTATCAAGCCGTCGATAAAATCTTAGCCAGCAGATGGCGAAACTGTTCATTACATTAGAGTTCCGTGATTACTTAAAGACTGAGTAATTATAATGTTTGAAAGTATTTGAATTATCGTGTGAACTAGGAATCCCAGAATTAACGCAATTGAATCAAGAATTACGACATAAGCCCGAACGAATGTATTGTATTTAGAATCCGAAATCGATCATTCAACAAGTACAAAGAAATCATTAGTTTATTCAAACACCACAGTAATATTGTCTTGTTTCACTAGCATCCATATTAGTTCAGTTACTCGGCTCATTTGAGTTAAATATGTAGAAGCCCAAATAAAGTACTGCAGTGAAATTCTAAGGAGTATTGAAATAGTTTGCACCAATAAGTCGTCATCCATAATGCTTTTATTAAGTCCGTAATATCAGACTTTATGCTATACAGTTTACACCGATAATGTTGTTTACCGAACTCCAGAATTAATCATCACCGGTTTTTGGTTAATTTTGGCCACAGTGCTCTAACAACGGATGTCAGAAAGTGAAAGTGAGAATGTATGTTGCATCAGGTTTTGAGTATTCATAAAGAGTGATAAGTTTTTGTTCTGACGCTCGTTGCTCTTGACTTTAGTCACATTTGGAGATACATTTACGTACTATAATCAACTACAACTTTTATGAGAGTCGTTTTTCTTTTAGACGAAAAACATTTTTTAGTTGGTGTCTTTAAAATGACACCTATGCGGTTAAATTCTAACAAAGTTGATTTACTTTTCAAGCTTTTGACTTATCACTCTGTTAATCTCAGTTTTAATAGCAGTGTTAGTGATATTTTCACCACATTATTTCAATTGAAAGTGTACCTTAAACCTTTTAGATACACCAATGACATCTGTGATAATACAAAAACTCAAAAAAGCTCAGCAACAAGGAAAACAAGATAATCGGACTATACAGAGGTCGGTCGGACGAAATATCAGTGAATTGGAAAGAGAAGAAAAAGATTTAGAAAATTTAATAAGAAGCGCTGCCAGGCAAAACGACAGAGGAGCTTGTGCTATGTTAGCACAAGAGTTAACTAAGATTCGTGCTTTAAAGTCTAGAAACTCTCGTTTTGCAGACCACATGAACATTGTGCAGAAAAAACAAACAACTTCGCTGTACGCAGCCAAATATGGAGAATCACTTGAAGCGGCTGCAACCACCATGAAGAATTTCAACAAGGTATAAATTATTCAAGTTACGTTACTGTAGTAACTTGTAAATTTGATAAGTTAACTGTTTGTCATGATAGCTCGAAAGTTTACATCATAGTATAAAGGAGTAGTTGGAATTAAAATAAAGGAAGATAGTAGCTAGTAGCTTCTGACTTAGTCAAAGAGCATCATCAACATTAGAAGTGTAATAAAGATATCACACATAAAACTGTTTGCAAATTTTGTCGAGCAGTGAGAAAATAAGTACATTAAATTTTTATTAATGAGCAACTTTTATGATACACTGACTGAATAAACGGCACCTTATCCTGGTCATATACTCCAGTCTTAACATTTCGATTCATTTTATGCCTTTGTCTGGTAGCTGACTGTCTTCCGAAGACCAAATCTAGTATCAGTCAGTCGCGTGGTAGATCTGTAAAAATAGTTTTTTGCTGTTCAGCTCCAAATTTTTACAAACAGTAAGCCAGGTATTATAAATCTTTAGTTTATACGAGAATTAGTGGCATTAAATTAGTTAAATAACATGATTCGTTGCATATCTCCACTTTTTAGTAAGGTTTTTGTTGCTTTTTAACATTAACCATAACTAAGTTTCCGCGAATCAAGTAGGAGATTAGCTCTGGAGTTTCCAAATCCACAACCTGAGAAAAGTGTACAAATTGAGCCATATTTAAGGTAGTTACACATTACACAACAATATATATATATATATATATATATATATATATATATATATATATATATATATATATATGGAAAATAGTTGTCAATATGATTGTACAACTCTGATAAATGGTATCGTAGAGAAAGAATTTTTTTTCTGAAACGTTTTTATTTGTCTTACTGGCTTGATAAGTTTTATTTGTTATTCGTCCTTAGTTTTTTATCATGCGTTTGGATGTGAAGTACAGCCTTTAAAACATAATTCATTAACCAAATTTATCTTTTCACTCACACCGGAAAAGTTTCAACCATTAAGGTTGCATTTTGAAGCAAGGAACTATATATGATATTTAAATGGAAGCATTTTTAGACGTTATTAAACCATTTCAAGTCTAACTGTGAACGCTCATTCAAATGGGAAAATGTTGAGATCTTGGATAAAGGCAATTCTAAAAACACGAGAGAATTTTTGGAAGCTTGATACCCATGTCAATCAGCAATCCACAGACACATTGAAATTGATCCAATTCATCAACCAATCAAAAAAATTATGAACAAATATAGGACCAATAATTAAGTCCGTAGGAGGTACAATCAAAATAAAGAAGAGAACAGTAACAGGTTAAAGGTCAACAATGAAGAATTAATATAAAGGTCGACAGGACATGCTGTGAGCTATATGTGGAAAAATTCGGACACTTTACTTCTGCTTAAAGCTTGCGTTGATGACGCTGTTCAGAATAATGACGAAAGTTCCACAACCAAGCCGTTCAGCTCAGAGAACAAAACTCCATCAGAATCGTTCATCTGAGCTACAAATCTTTTCTACCAGTTTCTACCTTGTTTCTGATTAAACGACTGTGAATTATTATTGACTTTAGGTGTACCAACGCTTAAGTTCTTGATGCTATTTATAAAATAGCATTAATATGTACAAGGACTTACGTGAAACAAGGCTGCTTCATCTCATTATTTGATGTTCCTACTGATGGAGAACTGTAACAGACAAAACACCATAGTGCAGCCACAAATTCCTTCCATAAATATCATGATTACCATCAATTCAGTAAATGGAGACGGTTATCTGGAATGTGTAACTAAAAGATATTTAAGTTTAATCAACCTAACGTTTACTTAATTTTAGGTTATGGACAAAACGAAGGTCCCTGATCAACTAAAACAGTTCGATAAAGAAGAATTAAAAATGGATATGTCTGAAGATACCTTAGACACCATGCTATCTTCACTATGCGAATCTGAAGAGGAGGACGTTGATGAGTACATAACAAAAATTTTAAGTGAACCACAAAGTCACGTACCTGATGTGTGGCCCTCTGTTCCTGATACAACTTTAGAAAAGTCCAGTTCCATCTCCAGAAAATTTCGTGACAACATAGTTTAATAACATTTGTGCAAGTATACACACTTTTCGGTCCCTCTAAGCAAAAGCGTTCCAAAAATGCGTCTACAACTGTGTACTCCTTTGAAACGAACTTCAGAAAACTCTTGTCTTCCTTACAATTAAAGTTTTAACTTTATGATTCAAAAATAATAAACGAAATTTCAATATAAATTTTTAAATTCCATCATATATTACTGATAGAATTTAGTCAAAAGCTCCTGGCATATAGTGTTCTATTTCTAAAGCCCAATCACGTTTTACCGATCATTTTATGCCTTTTAAATGATTACATCTTCGATCAAACTTTGAATAAGCGATTTTCATTATGAGGTAAGTTTTTCACAGACTGCAAGTAAGAATTTCAAGCATTACATACTTTATAGAATGTAAATGTGTTTTATGTACTCAGGAAGTCGCTGGAAAATTATAAAAAGGGATCTTAATGTTAACATCTGTAAGCTTGTTAGTGTTATTGATCGGCTTCAAGATGATACTTAGTTACCAATCATGAGAATCAATTAGGCTTTGTTTGTTGAAACGAAAGACTTTTATCGACATCTACTATATCCAAGTAATTTGCAGCAACTCGTCTGAAATCCCAACCGGATATGTTTAAATTACATCTAGTTGTTACAAATCATTTTCAGCACTTTATATGTTGATAACCTCTGGGTGGCATCCATCTCCTAACCCAGCCTGACTTTACACAATGAATACAAATATTAATTTAAAAGTAGATACATTTCACATTCATGATAACTTGACTCATTTTCCTCACAAAAAACATACTTTCTTAAATACAGAATATGAAAACTATGCAGTAAATGAAGTTGTAAGGCACTAGTTATGTTCATCAGGAATTACTATTGATATAACTTTGAATTTATTGATCCGTTAATAGCAATATGTTCTCGAGAAGTTTTCAGATGATGTTTAAAATGATCTCTATGCTCTGTAGTGATTAATCGATTTTATTATTTTATGGGCTCACTCCTAATATTGTAAACGTTTCTTCATATCGTACTATGAATAATTTCACTGACTACATAATTAATCTTAACGTTATACATAACTTTAATTTTGTAATTTGGGTTCACACCCTTGGATTGAATGTTACCTCCAACAATATGATCAGCAAGTAATTCAGTTAAATAACTAGCTATAGATCCCTTTCATTACCATTTTACGACAAGTCAGAAGGGTCTTCATCAACAGACTATTTAATAAACAAATGTGAAAATACAAAAATAATATTACTGGACGACTAAATATGTTTTAACAAACTGACGTATCATCTATATGCGGGATTTTTATTATTAATTTATGTTACTATAACCGTAAAATGGCACAAATATTCACGATTAGACTGTAACGAGTTTGAAGAGAAAACTTATTTAAAACCAACAAACATTTGTTGTTCGCAATGATGATGATGATGAGTTTCATTATTTACCAATAAATTGTAGTATTTACTTACATACTTAGATATTTACTTAAAATGGAAATAATAGGAACAATTCTCACTGATAATTAGCTAAGCTTAGGTGTTTGAAAAAGTATGATTTCCTTAAACTTTCAGGGCAGTCAATTAAAATTAACATAGAACCTGAAACATTGGTAAATCAATACGATGTATTACATCAGGTCATAGACATACATAGATTACGAATGCCAGTTAACGGAAAAACTAGATACAGAGTCTATTCAAGCAGTTAAAGCTGACGTAGATAAGGAAATAAATCGCAGATAATGTTAATAGAGAATAAAATAAAACAAAGAAATCATGTTGGAATCAGATTCGGTAATATCGCAAATGCATTTAATGACTAAACGGATAACATAAACAGATTTATTGCTTTCCAACTTAGACAATTTCTAAATGATTAGCTGGTGCATGATGATAAGCATTGCCAACCTTTTAACAGAATATTAATCGTTTATGCTGAATACCGATCATAATATATTTCAATTTATCTGGTTTACATGTAATTCAGCTAAAACTCGAATTTAATACCATAATAGATAGTATAAGTGTTAATGTTTATTTACGAAAAACAACACAACTACATCAAACCACTTTCAAAATCCTTATAGGTCGTTTGACAAAATAGCATTCATCAGTCAAATAAATGACTGCCATTCATTCTGAAACACTGAAAATTGAAGTAGTCGAAGATTAAAATTTCAGAAAGACGATCTTGTGAAATAAATTTGAAAAGTAATGACTAATTTACGGAAGTTTACTAAGAATCTTCGATTTGATTGAAATTAATAAAGGAGCAGAGTATGTACATAAATACTGAGCTGGGTAAATTCGAAGTTTAGTATTTCCAGGATAATGAATCACGAAGAGTAGAAGTCTCGTTCTCTGACGAGAATAGCTTCGTCATGAAGTTTTATTGTTCGTCTGAATAACATCAACACAAACTCCCGATGATTTTGTTCAAGGGAACAATGAAAGCTTTATGACCTAACCATCCAGCTTGGAGAACAAAACTTTACTATAAACATTAACCTGAGCTACAAATCTTGTCCACTATCTCGAGGAGTTAGTTTATAATGTCAGCTCAAATCATAACATAAGTGAATTATATGTAGGTGATCATGTGGAAATAACTTTCAACTTGGACACTATTACGTTTTTTAAAAACCTTTTTATTTTTGCTCTTTAAATTCTTTCAAACTTTAGTTTTGTTAACGTTTTAATTTCTGATCCTAATTTGATGTAACTAGTTTAATAACAACTCCGCCTGTAGCTCTTCCAAAGTTACTGTCGGCTTAAAGCCCGGATAAAGGAGGAGGGTGAGGCATAGGGTTGGCGACTCCATCCCGTAAAAAACTAACTCGCTAAAAAACGCTTACCAGAAAAAATAATTCAAACCATTTAAACTCTGCCCTGGGAGTAAGGAGGTCTTCATTTAGAAGAAATATGACGCTTCATGGTGAAAGCCGAGGTCCTTCGGAAGCCACGAGGCCGATGCCCCTTCTAACAACCAGAACAAAAGTTTTTATAGGTACATGGAACGTTCGAACAATGTGGGAAACCGGGAAGACCAGTCAAATAACAACGGAAATGAGGAGATACAACATGGCAGTACTGGGAATCAGCGAAACCCATTGAAATCAAGCTGGACAGAAAAGGCTAAATACGGGAGAGATGCTACTATACTCCGGTCACGAAGAGGAAAATGCTCCACACACTCAGAGAGTCGCCCCAATGCTGTCCAAAGAAGCACGAAATGCACTAGTAGGATGGGAATCCCACGGATCCAGAATCATCAAAGCATCATTCAAAACAAAGAAGGAGGGGATCATAAGGAATATCATCCAATGTTATGCACCCACCAATGATACCAACGACGACATTAAAGATCAATTCTACGAGCGGCTGCAATCAATCATAGAGAAGTGCCCAAGAAACGACCTCACCATTCTGATGGGAGATCCAAAAGCTAAAGTCGGAATAGATAACACCGAATATGAAGATACCATGGGAAGACATGGAATGACTAGGAGACAGAAACAGAAATGGGGAAAGATTTGCAATTGTGTGCATTCAACAAATTGGTCATATGCGGCACAATATTCCCACACAAAGCTACATGGATCTCACCGGACCACACTACAGAGAACCAGATAGATCATATCTGCATCAATAAAAAATTCCGAAGGACAATCGAAGATGTGAGAACCAAGAGAGGAGCTGACATATCTTCAGATCACCATCCTGTTGCGGCCAATTTAAAACTGAAGCTACAGAATCAGTGGACAACTGGACAAACAGCACTACAAAGGTTCAATACAGCCTTCCTCCGAGATACTGACAAACTTAATGAATTCAAGATAGCTCTCAACAACAGGTTCCAAGCCTTACAAGATCTGCTGAAAGAAGAAGAAACTACTATGGAGGACAACTGGACAGGTATCAAAGAAGCATTGACTTCAACGTGTCAGGAGATTCTGGGTCTCAAGAAGCAACATCAGAAGGAATAGATCTCTATAGAAACACCGGACAAGATCAAAGGAAGGAAGAAAAGGACGACAGCAATTAACAAAAGAAAAAGTCAAGGCGTAAGTTGAGTTCACAGAAGCAAACAAGCATGTGAAGAAGAGCATTAAAGCCGACAAGCAGAAATCCGTGGAAGAACAAGCAGCTGCAAGAGAATGAAATATGAAACACCTATATGATACAATGAAGAAACTAGCAGGGAAATATAGTAAAGCAGAGACTAGTCAAGAACAAAGAAAGCAGGACAATCACTGAAATTCAGCAACAGCGGAACAGATGGGTAGAGTATTTCGAGGAACCCTTGAATAGACCAGCTCCAGTGAATCCACTGGACATCGAAGCAGCGCACGCAGATACTCCTACAGATGTCAATCGACCAACGACGGAAGAAATTGGAATGGCCATCAGATAAATCAAGAGTGGGAAAGCAGCAGGACCTAATAATATACCAGCTCAATCACTGAAGTCAGACATCGAAGTAACTACAAACATGCTTCACCTTCTATTCAAGAAGGTTTGGGAGGAGGAACAAGTGCCGATGGGCTAGAAAGAAGGACACCTCATCAAGATTTCAAAGAAAGGAGATCTGAGCAAATGTGAAAACTACAGAGGCGTTACACTACTGTCAGTACCAGAGAAAGTCTGTCAGAGTGTTGCTGAACCGGATGAAAGACGCAGTAGACCCCCAACTTCGAGATCAACAAGCTGGATCGGTAGTGCACAGACCGAATCGCGACACTGCGGATCATCGTCGAACAATCAGTTGAGTGGAACTTGTCACTGTACATCAACTTCATTGACTATGAAAAGGCATTTGACAATGTAGATAGAAGGACGTTAAGGAAAGCTCTTCGACACTACGGAGTTCCTGAGAAGATTGCCAACATTATCCGGACTACAGTGCAAGGTGGTGTATGGAGGACAGCTGACAGATGCATTCCAAGTAAGGACCACCTGTCTACTCTCTCCCTTCCTCTTTCTTCTGGTGGTC